AGTAAACTTTAAAAGCATAAGTATAATCTGAGTATTATATATAAAAAACAAGTAAAGGCTGAGTATTCCTTCATATGTTTAACTTCCCACAAAATCATTCAGCTAAATTAAAATTCTGCCCCACAGTGAGGATCTTAAGACTTTCATAGCCTGAATGTCCTTGTCTTCAATTTTTATTTTTGGGCCACACCCAAGAATGCTCAGGAATTACTCCTGACTCTGAGCTCCTGGTGGTGTTCTGGGACTATGTGGGATGCCAGGGGTCAAACCCAGGTTGGCCGCATGCAAGGCATGTGCCCTACACACTGTACTGTCTTGCCCGCCCTCTTCATTTTTAAGTGAGATAGTTGCCTTAATGACTATTTGCAGGGGGTTGCAGAAAAGGAGGACTCAATATGGGTTTTATGGAGAGTATAAGGTCAACTGGTCAAGGCCACTGAGCTTTCCCTATTTTACAAATTGAGTGTAGCTTAATTATACAGTATTTATAAAGTTTAAAGTAGTGTACAAGTGTATCATAGGCCTTCACATTCACTGTCCACTCACTCATTGACTTACCCACGGTAAAACTCAGTCCTGCAAGCTCCCTCTTATGTTTCCTATATAGGCTTGCTATTTTTAATTTCTCTTACTGTGTTTTTTTACTGCACCTTTCCTATATTTAGATGTGCTTGGATACACAGATGTACCATTGTGTTGCAAATGCCTACTGTATTCAGTACAGTAATATACTGTGCAGTTTTATAGTCTAGAGCAATGGGGTGGAGTAGGCTCTTTAGTACACCATCTATAGATTTTTATAACTATATGCTATGACTTTTGCCCAGTCGTGAAATTTTCTCTTGACGCATTTCTCAAAATGTATCTCAACCATTAATTAAGTGATGCATGACAATTTGGTGTTCCATGAAACATAGACTTACAGTTTTCTTTCTCTATCAACAAAATTTTTACTTTGTGTCAGAGTCAGAAGGCTTAATAGTGGGGCCCGGGCAATGGTACTGAGGATAGGGCATTTGCCTTGCATGCGACTGACGAGGTTCAGTCCCTGGCATTTCATATGTTGCCCCGAGCCTGCCAGGATTGATCCTTGAGCATGGAGACAAGAGTAAGCCTTGAGCACCACTGAGTGTGACCCCAGAACAAACCAAAAATGCTTAATAGTTATATCAAAAATAAGTAAGTATTCAAGTTCAGTTTTGCTGATCAGGGTAGAGCAAAGAACCATAATCATATTTTCTCACTGGACCCCTGAATTTTTTCTTCCTCTTTTTAATCAGTTCTTAACATCTATATTTCTGGGGCTTGAGCTATAGCACAGCAGGTAGGGCGTTTGCCTTGCACGTGGTTGACCCAGGTTCGATTTCCAGCATCCCATATGTTCCCCTGAGCACCGCCAGGGGTAATTCCTAAGTGCAGAGCCAGGAGTAACCCCTGTGCATCGCTGGGTGTGACCCAAAAAGCAAAATATATATATATATATTTCCAAGATTGTACTTATGTATTGTTTACCTCTCACAATGTATTATTTAGCTCTTAACTTATAAATGCATGAACATGTATTGCTTTATTTTGTTTGGGCTTTGCAAAGTAACTCAAAACTCAGTCCAGATATTGGAAAGCCAGGTATGAACTGGCGGTGACCAGGCAACTGCAGTCTCATGGGAAGGGGGATGGTACCGGCTCGTCCTTCACGCCCTACCAAGGTCACGAGTTGCCCCCTACGAGCGGCTCTCCAGCACAGCCATGGCTCCAGAGGCAAAAGGACTTAGTCCAGAGCCCGGCAACTTGCGGCAGAAAAGTGAATGGACCATGCATTAAACTACGGCGCCATGCCTCCTCGGGAGGGAAAGGGTGTTGCTCCCTTCCGCCTTCCCTGCGCCCCCCCACCCCCCCCCCAGCAGCAGGGTGGCTGCCGCCTCAGAGCTTATAGGAAAGCCAGGTATGAGCCGGCAGCGATGGGGCAACTGCAGTCTCATGGGGAGGGGGTCAGTACCGGCTCGTCCTTCATAACCTACTGAGGTCACAAGTTGCCCCCCACGAGCGGCTCTCCGGCACAGCCATAACACCAGACGCACAGAAACCAATCTTGTAATTATCTGGCTCTTTGCAGAAATCCAAAATTGTGCGGCTGCTGTTGCGGCCACACGACATTATATGATTCTCATAACCAGCTATAGAAAACAAAGTATTTCACAATGCCTTTTCAGCAGTTTTGATTGTTGGGGGCGGGAATTCTAAACAATAATTGTGCATCTTTTGTCAAAATAATGTATGTAATTAATGTGGAGAAGAGTTAAGTAGAAAGCATCTGCCTCACAGGCATTGGGAGGGGTGGGAGGGAGGTATATTGGGGTTCATGGTGGTGAAAAATGAGTATTGGTAAAGGGAAAAGTGTTTGATCATTGTGTGACCGAGATTTAAACCTGAAAGCTTAGTAATTTTTCCCACAGTGATCAATAAATAAATATAAGAAAAAAATAAATAAAATTATGAAGAAAAAAGGGCTGGAGCGATAGCACAGCGGGTAGGGCGTTTGCCTTGCACGCAGCCAACATGGCCATCCCGAGTTCGATTCCTCTGCCCCTCTTGGAGAGCCCGGCAAGCTACCGAGAGTAACTTGCCTGCACGGCAAAGCCTGGCAAGCTCCCCGTGACGTATTCGATATGCCAAACACAGTAACAAGTCTCATGATGGAGATGTTACTGGGCCTGCTCGAGCAAATCGATGAATAACGGGAGGACCGTGAACCGTGATGAAGAAAAAATAAGTAAGTTGGAGTTCATGCCCAATTCAACCAGCTTATCAGTGACTGAATAAATAGAAGTACTCCTACATAGAAAAAAAAAAAAACTCAGTCCAGAGATCCAAAAATGAAATGAAGAAACCCTTTCTATTTATGATATACTTTAAGAGGAAAGGAATAAATTTAAATAAACTTAAACTTTACAATCTAAGAACTACATTGCCATAAGAACTTAAATAGTATCTAACTAAATAGCATGATATCCCCTATTTATGTTTTTAATTTTGTTAGGATGCTTCCTAAAATAATTTACATATTCAACACAATCTCAGCTGCTTTTTTAAAATTTTTTGACAGAATTGACAAACTGATTTTCAAATTCATGTGGATGTGCAAGGGGCCTAATATAGACAGTCAAAGTTATTTTGAAAATGAACAAATGTCAAAGACTTAAACTTCCTATTTGACAGCCTATTAGATGTAAAACTATAATCAAGACAGGTGACATGCCATAAAGACGGACTTGCAAGCAAGTCTAGTCCTGGAGTCTCTGTAGCTTCAACTCACTCTGAACTGTTAAACCAGCCCAGTTGTATTAAAAATGTTGAAAACCACTGCAGTAACCCACTGTAGACTTAAAATTGAATTGAATCTTCAGCTGATGTGAAGAGTACTTCTTCCGTAGTCTGCCATAGGCAAAGCAGTTTGTGTTCTGATTCTCTTTTGAGAGGGGAGTTGTCATTCTATAGATTTAAATTTCTTTGGTTGTCTTGCATATCCCTCTCTCTGGTGAACTCAACAAAGGTTATGATTTTGTACATCATGAGGCCTCTCTTCATTTTACAGTGGGCAGAATACTCTCTGCCTTCCAGATCTTAAGCAGAGTTGAAATGACATGGTGCTTGACTTGTAACAGATTTAGTACTCAAAACTTGTTTGAAGTGGGTTGAATTCATGAAATACTTAACGTGTCAGGCTCTATACTAAGTATTCACTGCGTCATATCCTGTAATGCACATATCTATCCATAAAGCACTGTTACTATACCCCCTTTTTAGACTAAAAGTAAAGCTTAGTGGAAAAAAGAACTAGAAGTATAGAAATAAATAATACTTTGTTAATTTTGTCAAAATTACCTTTTCGCTCCCAAATAAAATTTCTGAATTCATTTTGTATTTCTCAAAGGAAAGGTGGTAAATCCTTGGCGTAGCAAATTCTCATTTTCTTAATTTGATGGAAAGACAGGCACACTGGATAATGAGAAAGCTTGAGAACTTGGTTGTACTTTCATTAATAGGGAGAAGATATTTTAGGGGCTGAAAGCCTGGATAGGCTGTAGTGGTGACCACTTAAATTTTATAGCAGGTGAACGACAAAGTAACTGTCTTGGCTTTTCTCCCACTTTCCACTGTTCCTCTCCCTTCTGTTTCTAGCATGAAATCATCAGTAACCCTTACTAAAAAATAGGATCATTGAATTTTAAATATATTCATTCCTGTTAACTACTAATTTGCCATGTGAGATTCCTAATGGTAGCTTTCACCTTAAATACGATTACTTATACTACTTACATTTGTCTTAAGTTGCTTTGTGAGCAATCTCTTTGTCTTTTAATATGTTCATCAAAAGGTACACTCAGGCTTTTTTTGTTATTGTTTTGAATTTTTTCAGTTTGGTTCTGTTCCAGAAAAGATGCCTCATCATAAGCTCAAATAAAATGAAAGTTATTAATTTCTCTCCAGCTGTTTTCTGAAATTAATTTTCCAAGGTGTGCCAGTTGTAACTCACCACATTAATCATTCTGCATTTTCTCGTGTGCTGGTTGGTAGAGGAAAGTTTCATGCATTACCTGTCTTCACTGAAATTTCAGCACCTTTCCAAGTGTCTCATATGTAGAATAAAAACAGAATGATAGGTTCTTGTTCATTGTTCAAGAACAGTATTATTTTTTTTCTTTTTCTTTCCTTTTGGTTATTTTTAGTTATTATAGTTTAGGTAGTTATAGTTTATAGTAGTGACATAGAAAACTATTATCCTCAGCTACATTCAGAATGCCCACGACCTTCCGCTTCTGTCCCTGCACCAACTCTGCTCGGGCCTTTCTCTCCCCTTCCCTTTTGCGAAGAACAGGGCCATTATAAAGGCACTCCTAAAGTTGAACATGGAGAAAGGAAAGATTATTTACATAATTTACATGGGAGGATAATGTCCTGGCTTAATGTTAACAATCACTGACATGCTGTTTCTTCCTTAGTTGTCAGGGAATATGAAAAACAGGAAAAGCATCCAGGAGCCTAGATTTGATTATTACAGCCATGAAGTTCCTGATATTGATCTCAGTGATTGTGAATTCCCACACGTCATTGAAATTTATGACTTCCCTCGAGAATTTCGTACTGAAGATCTTCTACGGATTTTCTGCAGTTACCAGTAAGTACTTGTAAATAGCTGGGGAAGTTAGGGAAAACAGGACGTACTTGTCTTACAATATCTTTTGAAAAGTCATCTCATTTTCATGTTCCCAGTTACTTATTTTAACATAATTTTGTTTGTTTTTGCAGATCCATTGTAAGTCTGTATTAAATCACTTTCTTCTAAGGTCCTTAAAAATGCCTGAAGTTTTTTTGGACCCCATTGTTAGCATTTAAGGAGAATGTCATTAATGATTACTTCCAAATACATTTGGTCCATTTTATTTGTTGTAATTGTTGATATATGTGGATGTAAACCTGAATTTCTTTTATGTGTGTTTACCTTGTCCCATCTGTTTCTCTTCTTTCTTGCCTTCTGTTGGATTGATGAGGTATTTTTTTTTCTCTTGTTTCAATTTTTTTGGAAAACCGTTCTCCTTCTTTGTTGGTTACTGGATAAATTACACAATGCATGCTTAACTATCTATGGCCAGTTAATAATTTTTCCCTTTATAAACTCTTGTGTAGACTTTTACTTCTATTTTCTAATCCCATTCCCCATCCCAGTTTATATGCTTTTGTGATTATTTTAATTCATTACAGTTTTTTCATTGTCCTTTTAAACTTAGTTTGTTGTTATTGCTGGTATTTAGTGTTGTGATTTACCCACTTTTTAATTTTTACTAATTCCTTTTGTACGTCATGCATTCTATATGAAATCTTTTTCCTTGTGCATGGAATATATTTATTTCTTAATTTTGTGACAGTATGCTAGGCAAACTAAGTTGTTTATTGTTTTTTAATAAATTTATTTCAACTTTATGTTTGAAAGATAGCTTTACTAGGTATAAAATTCTAAATTGGTAGTTATTTTTTCCCTCTCAAATATTTGAGGATAGGGGCTGGAGTGATAGTACAGCAGGGAAGGTCCATGCCTTGCACATAGCTGACCTGGGGTCAATACCCAGAACCACATATGTCCCCTGAGCACTGCCATGAATAATCTCTGATCACTTCCAGGTGTGTGCTTCCAAAACAGCAACAACAGAAAATAAGTTTGAATATATTCTGCTTTCTGTGTGAATGTCAGCTTCTGAATGCATCTGTTTTTTCTCCTAGGATGTGCTCAGGAACTTTTCTTTGTCTTTGAATTACTTCATTTTCAGTCTGATGTGGAGGTGTGTGTGTGTAACATTAAAATTATTTGGATTCATTTTCAGTATGATATTTGGGCATCTATGTGTGTGTGTGTGTGTGTGTGTGTGTGTGTGTGTATGTGTTTAACCTTCTTGATACTTGGGTTTATTTAGTATGATGTGTGGGTGGGTATCTTTATGTATGCATGTGTGTTTAATACTTGAGATTATTGGGATTCATTTCCAATACAGTGGTGTATGTGTAGTGTTGAAGTTATTAGGGATTTTTAAGCCAGTAATTTCATGTTTTTTATTGGCCTTAGAGCACACTTCAGTATCTGTTCAGTTCATCTCAAATATAGCCTATGTGCCCATCTCTTTTGCATTCTTTAAGATGCCTATTAAATATGTACAGACCATCATTTTTAGTCTTTGTTACTTTCGCATTTTCCATCTCCTTGTTTCTGCCACATTCTGCATGACTTTCAGCATCATTTTATAACTATTTTTTTATTCATCTGTGTTTAGTTTGATGTTAAATCATCATTTAATTTTTTATTTTTCATAGTTCTTTATGTTTATTCTTTTATTCTTCATCCTCATTTTTAGATTGTTGCTCTACCTCAAAACTTCTAAAATCTTTATTTCTCTAAATATTAAACATAGTAGACATTCTTTGTCTTTATCTGAAGTCCTTTTAAATTCTTTTCTATAAATTTTTATACATAGTTGCCATGCCTTTTTTTGGAGTTCTTATTCTTTGGGTTTTTTTTTTTTAACTGATAGCTGATCACTTTCCTGGAATGTTATTTATGGAAACTGGAATTTTCTATAAAGGAAAAGAATTTCTCCTTCAAACATGTATTTTCTTTCCCCAAACACTAGATGTTAATAGTCTAGAAGCTCACTAAATTAAATAATTGATTTCATGTTATTTTGAGCACTCAGATAGTAGAGAATGATAAACAGTGATTTTTATATGCCTTAGCTAATTTAGCTAGTACATGTAAATATCATTTCATTTGTCAGTTTTTAATTTTGTTCCAAGGCCCACCCCACTTCCTGCTTTTAAGGTTATTAACCTATTGACAGGAGGATTCTTACAAGTTACTCTCATAGAATATCACTAACAATTTTCCATTTTACTTCTGTAAATGGGGGCAAGAAGTCTAACATTCAGTAATCTGAGCACATATTCCTTACAGGTTAGAATAATTCCTCATTTCTCATTTTTTCAGGTTTTTTTTTTCTCAAACATGATTGCTATCATGTTAAAAAGACCTTTCTTCGGTCTTCCAAAGCACTCAACTATGTTTTTGTGGTTTTTCTTTTCCCACCTGTATTTCATTGGTTTTAATTTTATTGGTATGTGGTGAAGATATAAATTAAAACAATATTATTGGATTTGAGAACAATGTTACTAATTCTTTATATATATATATATATAGTACATATATAGAAGAAAGCAGAAGAGTCAGAAGTATACTCTTTCTAGCTTATAAGAAAAAATAAGTTTCAGGAGTAAAGAAATAACCAGAAAGAAAATTCTGAAGAAAAAGATTTTAAGGATTATGGAAGAAAGTCAGTGCTAAGGATTATACTTTAATATATCAGTCTTGATTAAAAATGAACCACTCTATGGACTAATTTTAAAATCAAATGTATATACTGGTTAGAGTATAGCTCCTGACTTTTCTTTAAGGGGCCAAAGTAAATATTTTCACACCATCATAGCACAAAAGCAGTCATTGATGATAAACAAACAAATGGTGCCTGCCTGTGTTCAGTGAACGTTCAAAAGCATTCTGTTTTTCTATAACATTCTAGGAAAAAGAAACTACTTAGCATCACCTAAATGTGTTTGGTCTGTAAATACTAGGAAAGTCCTGTAACTACTAGGAAAAGCGGGTGACTGAGTCCTAAAAGGCAACTAACAATCTCTGCTGTAGATCTTACTCTAAATATATAATGTAAGTCAGTTAGGCCAAGTTAGATCGACCCAATCTTTCCAGCTAGACCCAAAATCGGAATAGCCTAGTCCATATACAATGCATAGTATAATTTAAGAAATGGTCAGTGAGATTAAATAAGTTAAAAATATCTTTCTCACTAACAATGAATTTTAAAAGTCAACAGCAGGGCCACGTAGACAGCTGGCAAGGACTGGAGTGAACGCCTTGCATGCATGGGCTCCCTCTGACTGTTACCCAGCACTCCCAGAAATAGGGTATGCTGATGACCACCAGCACCTCTGGGTGTGACCCTGTTTGACCCCAGCACTACTGGAAAGCTCCCCAGTAAAGTAAACAGCAACCAGAGCAAACCCTAAGCATCAGCTTTGTTGATGTCTGGAATTTCCCAAAGATGGTTAATTCTTGTGAAGTAACTAACTTCTATTTGCTTTGTTTCTTCTCAGTCTCATCTGTAAGACTATTATCAAACTCAGAAGCATTCCCAAAGAACAGTACTTTTTTAAAGGATTGTGAAATTCCGGAGTCTGAAAGATACTTCAGGAACCCATCTACTTTTTTTTTCCTCTCTCTTTTTGTAAACTTTCTTATAATATTGAGCCATATTTGTAGTATTGAAATTTTCCAACTCCTGTGGTCACTTTGTGCCATGACCAAATTTGTTCTTACATTCATCACATTCTCTAACCTTCATTAAAGCCTCCATTATTCCTTTTTTATCGGATTGTTTTACTTTTTTTTTTTTTGCTTTTTGACTTTTTTTTTCACGCTTGGCAATGCTCAGGGGTTACTCCTGGCTCTGCACTGAGGAATTATTCCTGGTGGTGCTCAGGGGACCCTATGGGATGGCTGGGGATAAAACCTGAGTCAGCCGCGTGCAAGGCAAACGCCCTATCTGCTCTACTGTCACTCCAGCCTAGTTTCTTTTCTTTACTCGTTGTTTAGGAGGGAAAGCACATCTTCATTTTAAACACCCTCTTTCATCAATTTTAACAGTCTTTCACTTGCTATTAATAAAATGAACATAACTTGTGTGCTGAACTTTCCCTACGTTTTCAGCACTGTACTGTTTGCCTCGTCACGGGTGACCGCTTCCTCAGCAGCTGTGTGAGGGAACACCGTGTGCCTATTTCAGCAGATGAGCAGACCTGGCTTCAGGAGAGGTCAAACCTGCCCGGGGTCTCTGGGTCGTGCAACCAAATCCACGGCTCTCTGACCCTCAAGCCTGTGCTCTTTCCATAGAATTATTTTCATTTCATGAGTAGTTTAGGCTCCTAGTTGAAAAAAATAATAACATGATTATCCGGATAGTCATTGTGCTCATTAGACACCTCTGCTCCAAATAAAGATGCTTTTTTAACACTAAAATGGTCATTCTTTTCACTCTTTGTAATCTGGCCTGCTACATCTCTTATCTGTATTGTCCACAATTCTAGCCTATTTTTCCTTCCATTCTCCAATAAGGAAAAAAGAGAGCCTCTCTAGTTATCGTTGTCCTTTTTTCTTCTGTTAGGTTTATTTTTGATTTTTTTGTATTGAATGTCCTGTCTCACTGTCTCTGTCTCACTGTCTCTTTCTGTCCTTGAGTCTGCATCAGCATTAAATCCCGGTGTCCTTCGCTATCAGCCTCCTCCTCTAATGCTCTTTCTACCCCTCCTTTGCTTCCTTTTCCCATCTCTTCTTTACCCGTGCCCATACGAACATCTCTTGTAAATAGGGCGTTAAATACCTTACCTCCCCAAGAGACTAGTGAGGATTAATTAGTTGATGTCTATAAAATGACTAGGAATGTAAAATACTCCCAGGTAGTCCTTTATGATGGCATTATTGCTTTTAAAATTCAGTGGCTTCTTCTGTCCTCCAAGCTGTTTTTGCCGTCATTATCCTCATTCCACCTGTGCGCTGGTTGAGGATTTCTCGCTATCTCATCATGAAATGCTTTATGAGACTGTATTTGAAAGGTGTTTCATAGAAGCAAATTTTATTTTAAGAAATAAAATCGTGGTTTTTTTTTTTGTCGTTGTTGTTGCAGAAAAAAAGGATTTGATATTAAATGGGTGGATGATACACATGCCCTAGGAATATTCTCCAGTCCGATTACAGGTATTCACCCAATGAATTTTCATGTTCTTTTTTCTTTTTTTTTCCCCAACAGGCAAAGTGGGGGGTAGGGGGGTGGCGGGGGCGGCGGGGGCAGCAATGGATAAGGTTAGAGGCCCTACCAAGTGATTCTCTAGAGCCCTGGAGACAACTCTACCAGAAGTTCAATGTCAGGTGCTCTGTAGTACCGGGGACTACCCAGACCGCTCCAGCAGTGCTCAGGGGCTTGCAGGCTAGGGCTGCACCCTCAACACTCAGGGGACCATGTGGTGCCACAGATTGACCTGAGGCCAGGTACTTGGAAGACACGAGCCTAAACCCCTCTCCTGTCTCATTGGCTCTTCGTGTTCTTTTCCTGTTTTGCCATTTTATTCCTGATATTATCTTTATTCTCAGTTTTCCTTCTATTCCAGACAATTGGCTTACCTCCCCCGCCCCCAACCCCCACCCCATTCCTCACCCCAGTCAGTGTAGGTAATTGGCAGATACGGAGTTTTTTGGTTGGTTGGTTGGTTGGTTTGTTCGGGGGTCAGTACTCCCTGTCTTTTTTCACCATAATCTAATGGTCTTTGGAGAGATCATCAGCTCTTTCCAAAGTGTTTTATTTTATGATTCTCAATTATGATAGTGCACAAATAGATGATAGGTAAAGAAGAAGCCACTGTGACTGATAACAATGCTTATGTTTTACATTTGTATTTTTTAGATTTTTATCATGCAGTATTTGTAATTCCATTCCTCCCTCTCTGCCCTAAATGGATTTGAAGTAGTTCATAAACAAGTCCATCAAGAATTTGTAATCCTCCTTCCTGAATATATGATTGAGCCTTTTCACATATGTCATTGCCTCTGACAGGTCTTTAAGGAAATTAAAGAGGTTGGTTTCTGTCTCAGCCTCCCTGAGCAGTGAGCTATCCCCTTGTCTGTAAAGGGCCCAGATCGCAAACATTTTAGGTTTTGTGTAGATACAAGTACTTCACTCTCTGCTTATAGAACACATCCATGGGCATTCTACAGATGAACAGACATACCTCTATTCCATAAACTTTAATTTACAGTAATAGCTGTTTGGCTAGAAATGGTAACAGAACTATAGTTTGCCAACCCCCATCTTAGATTCTCTCTATCCAGTTGCTCCTTAGAGATTTTTTTGGAGCCTGCCATCTGTCTCTTACCATGGGGGAAGGAGGGGGAAAGGGCATGTAACATCTAGAAAATAGAAAGTACTAAGAACTTAAGGCCAGGAATTTAGCTCAGTAGTAGAGCACTTGCCTTGCTGGTTCAATCCCAGGCACCACAAAAAAGAAAAAAAAAATAGAAGAAAGGAAAAAACTAAGAACTTGCCATAAATTTTCCCATACATCTGCAATCATCATGTCTTCTTCTGCTTTATTTATCTGTATCTGTCTTTGCAGCCCGGGATGCTCTGGGCAGTAAGCATACCATGGTGAAGATCCGGCCTTTGTCACAGGCCACGAGAGCAGCCAAGGCCAAAGCGCGAGCGTTTGCCGGTGAGCCGATAATCCTCAGGGGGGAAAGGGTGTGCTCATGTTGCTAGTTGTGGTTTTGTTTTGTTTTTTCCCTCGAAGTTGTACAGTACCCATAGTTCTAAAGATATATCACCTTTATTTTTAGAGTGAGAGGAAGTATATTTTTAAAGATAGGAAGAAGAGAGAGAGATGGCTATGTTGGAAATATGAACTCTTGCGCAGTCAGTCGGAAAGCGAGACGTATTAACTGCAGCAAAGCAGCAAGCATTTCCTGATGACATGCTTATCTAGTTTACTTCCGTGTTGAGCTGTTTGATAGTCACTGTAAGAAACTGTGTTAATACTGATAATGAAGCCAGGGTTGTTTGTGAGCTGCCTTGTTAATTTCTTCTGATCGTCATCTATCAGGCTTCTATTAATTACTGCTGATGCAGCCCTTGTTAGTCTATTTTGTATGTTAATTACTGAGTTAAATCACTTGGAGCTGGAATGCTTTCTCTTCCTCACTCCCTCCGATCTGCCTCCCCCTTTCCCTCATGCAGAGTTCCTCCAGCCTGCAAAGGAGCGTCCTGAGACTTCAGCAGCCCTTGCCAGAAGGTTAGTCATCAGTGCCCTTGGGGTGCGAAGTAAGCAGAGCAAAACCGAGCGGGAAGCAGAGCTCAAGAAACTGCGAGAAGCCCGAGGTGAGTTGAACTGATGACATTCTACTATAGTCGCTTTAGAGCTCACCGTAAAGGCAGGTATTTTTTAAAAAAAAATGAATGAAGCCCGTTCCATTTTGTCATTTCCATTTCCTAGAAGCCTTCCAAGTGTATTGAAATTTTTCCCATGCCTTATATTCAGGAGAGAGGAGAGAGACAGTTCAGGTTTTGTATCTCTCTCTCTCTCTCTCTCTCTCTCTCTCTCTCTCTCTCACACACACACACACACACCATCACCACCACCACCACCACCCCCCCCACCCCCCCAAGGCTTCTTAATTCATGCTCCTTCTAGTTGTTTTCCAAGAGATAGGTTTGGTCTTCTCAGATTACCCAGGGCTCTTTTTATGTAGTTCTTGTTCCAACCTCTGAGTAACCATAATAGTCTCCCAGGCAAAGAAGAAATATAATTTGCTCATGTTTTTACTGAACCATGATTGCCATAGTGCTATCAAAATGGTTCAGCTCTTAGAAGAAGAAAAATTAAGGGAAAGCCAGCAACTGACATTGATGATAATAACTAGAGTAGGTTTTTTTCTTCAGAGTATTCCTGAGTGACTCCATTAGCGTTTATCTAGATTCTCCTATCTTCTGATTGTTTTCCAGTACCTAACAGCTCTCAGAAAATATTTCACCTGATTCACACGCAGGGTTTTCCTTTTCCTATAGTTTCGAGTTGATTTTTAAATCCCTCTCTTCTCCTTATATGCTGTTGACTTGCATGTAAAGGTTTGGGACTCTGGCTTGGCCCGCAAGTACTTTTTATCAACCTTCAGGCCTTTGACAGTCTCACTGCTGAATCTGTGAAGGCAATTTATTCTGAAAATTCCACTTACCAAAAAGTAACTTCATTTTTCCATTAAACGAATTGAAGTTTCAAACTCCTTGTTTATTGCTGATCTAACAAGGCCATTAATACTTCCTGTCCACTCTGCTCCAGTGATAGCAGGCAGCTTGTGGACTCGGCTGCTCTGGCCAGATAACCAGTGACTGAGTGTGTCCTGGCAGGTGCTCCAGTTTCAGAGTTGAAATCAACTAATTTTTGAAACCTTCTTGATCATAATGAGGCAATTTGGGTTTTGTTTGTTTGTTTTTAAATGCATTGTTTATTTAAAGGTTTCTTAAAGATTACTGAAATCGAGGATGATTTCTCTTTTTTTAATGGATGATCATAATAGGACTGTGTTAAAGGAGAATGTATAGTGTTCTTATCCTTTATTAATTGGTTATGTCTGTGATAAATGATTTCTCTGTGATAAGCACAAATATTCCATGTGATCAGTAGAGTATAATAGTAATGGTGCCTGTAAGAGGAGTTATTTCTTTGGCAGTGTATCAGGCTTTCCAGTAAGTGTAATATCACCTGTATCTCCAGATATTGCAGCTGTTGTTTAGCTTGGATAGCATCTGGATGTTCCCTTTATTTTTCTGTGGGCACATCAGCATGCAGTTCCATTTTAAGTATCTGTTTAAATGCCCAGCTATACAAAGCACATTTCAGGGATGCAATTAAAAATGAGACTATTGGCTAATTGGGTACCCTATTACTTAACCTTTTTTTTAAAAAAAGGCTATTGTGAAGAGACCCACTGTGATGAGTTCCTTCTGTCCAGTGGTGCCGAGGCTGTACAGATGGGAGAGCACCTTGCCTTTGTTATTCTTTAAAACTCCTTCGTTCTCTATGTCCAAGGAAAATTCTTGATACACCTTTTTCTAGCTCCTTGATCTACTGAGCAGACATTGATACTGTTAAGGTATAAGGCAGAACAGACATTTCTGTTCAAGATTTGCCATTGTAGAAGGGTCAGTATAGCATAGAGAATCATAGAGGATAATATTATAAACTCTATAATCATACCTTCTGGGTCCGTATCAGACCTCCTGGGCCCACGTTTACCGACTGTCTGACCTTGGTCAAATCTTAGTCTCTGAACGCCTCTGTTTCCTCCTCCATAAAGTGGAAGTCAAGTGAGATAATCACCTAAAGGTACTTGTCAAAAAAGTCATTGTCAAAAAACCCTCCTATTTCTTGGGCCAGTAATAAGTATGTGATTTCAATGTAAACTGCAGCTACTTTTATTAGTAATTGCAACAGTACTTCTTATGGTAGGTCCAGCTAGATTCCAGTGCATTATTTCTGTTTTCATTCATTTTACACTGAGCACTGGTCCCTGTGTAGGGCAGGGAAGGAGATGGCAAGACTCTTATTTCTTAAGATTTAGAGTCCAGTAGGGTATATCTTCCTTGAATAAGGACTAAAATGTGAACTTCATGTTTTAAGCCGTAGCACAGCGGGTAAGGCCTTGCATGCGACCGGCCTGGGTTTGATCCCTTTCTCCCTCTCGGAGAGCCCAGCAAGCTACCGAGAGTATTCTGCCCACACGGCAGAGCCTGGCAAGCTCTCTGTGGTGTATTTGATATGCCAAAAACAGCAACAACAAGTCTCACAATTTGTTGTGAGACGTTACTGGTACCCACTCGAGCAGATCGATGAACAACGGGAGGACAGTGCTACAGTGCTGCAGTTTCCTCTCTTATTTCATTTCCTCAGATTTTCAGATTAAAAGCCATGAAAAGGATTTTGTTGATCAGAGAGATTAGAAGAAAATTCCAGGCAGTATAACCTGTTATGGTGGTGTTGTATATGACAGTTCTGTGATGGATGGTATTATCTCTTAGAGCCAGCCCGGAGAAGTTAAGTAACTGGCCTGCTAGGTCACCAAGCTGCGAAGCTGAGAGGAGGCATTTGAACCTAGACCTCTCTAAAGCTCACGTACCTTTTACATTACTGTAAAAGTCCCCTTCAAGGACTTGCGAATCACTTTTTTTTTCTAGAAAAGAAATTTAAGATCTTTGGAAAATAAAAGATGCCAGATTTCTTTTAAGTTCTCTTTCCAATTGTTACAGCTTTCACTGTCCAAAGATTCTTCCTAAAGTCTATAATGGTGGTTTAAACCTGTTTCCTCTTCGTTTTTCCTCAGTAAAAATAGGGAACATCTGGACACCATTCTGTTCTAACAACTTTTAACCACGGAGATCAAAGGCAAATCACTTAGGACTGAGGAAGTCTGGTCTGTAATGGAGTTTTTGCCATTAACTAGCTGTGTGGCTCTAGGCAAGTCTCGTATACCTCTCTTTGCCCCTGTTTCCCAAAAAGGTGAAAGTGTTATTTTGATTATTCCAAGCCAAGGTGGATTTTTTTTTTAACACAGCATAAGGTAACAAATAAAAATGTTAGAAATGCTTTACAGAGTCAGTGAACTGTTGGGCAGTTAGTATTCATTAGAATGATATAAACAACCAATAACTGAGATACATTGTGTACTGTTGCCATAACAGTTTAGGAGATTAGGCTAGTCCTGTTAGTCGGGGACATTCTTTTTGTTTGTTTGGGGTTTTTTTTTTTTTTTTTTGCGGGGGTGGCGCAGGTAATGCCACAACCAGCTGCTTTTTTTGGGGGGGTAATGCCAAACCCAGCTGCACTCAGGTCTTATTCCTGGCTCTGCACTCAGGACTCACTCCTGATTGAACTCCAGGGACAGTGGGTTGCTGGGAATTGAACCCAGGTCTGTTGTGTGGAAGGCAGGAACCCTACCCACTGTACTATTTCTCCAGGCCCATGACATTATTTCTTGGTGAATTTTTGACATGATTATTCAGTTGATCAGTATTAGCATGGAAATTAAAATCTCCACACTGAAGTGGTTATCTGTACTTTTGTTAATACTGAATTGTTGCCATGTGAACATGAGTCCTTTTTAGCTTGCTGACTTGTTGCTGAATAAAACTCTCAACCTCTCAAAAAAAAAATGCTATACATTGTATTATGCAGTTAATCACTACATATTCATTGAATACGCAATATTGGTTGCTATAATTTTTCTCTGTAAGTCTTATTTCCTTCCTGATTCTATTCTGAACCCTGTCAAGTCCTTTGTGTTTTTCTTTATAAAAACCAAATGTTGAACACCGCATATGAGATCTTTCTAATTAAATGAATTTGAGATTTGGAAATTTGAAGTTAAATACTTTCTTGCTTAGTTCCCTTATCCCACTTTAGTTTTCAGCTCTTTTAATGAGAAGTCTGTCTTAGCCCTTCTTAGACATTATAAAATAAAATTACTCTGGGAAAAATTCAACAAAAAGGAAGTACTAAAATCATTCTTAAGAATACCATTGTATATATAAAGAGGATAAGAGTTTTAGTATACAGTCCTTGAACATCAGGAAAGTATCTTTTAGTTCAGCAAAGTATGTATTATATCAGAAGTATGCTAAAAGTGAAAAGTAAAAGCATATATATATATATTTGAGTACTTTGTATTTGATTTAATCATGTGTTTTAAATCAGTGATTCATGCTGAATGGTAAAATATGTAAAATTGTCCTCGTGTTCCACTTACCCAAACAGTTTTATTTCCTACCTATAATTCAATAAAAATCCAATGCCAGGGCCAGAGAAATAGTACTTGCACTGCATGCCGTTGACCCACTTGGATCTCCTGCACTGTGTCGGATCCCCTGATCAGTGCCAGGGATCGCTCCTGAGCCCAGAGCCAGAAGCATCCCCAAGTGCTGCTCCAGGCATAGCCCATCCACCCCACCCCCACCCCCCAGAAGTTGCACTCTTATTTTCAAGGCCTACTGAATTTTATTTTATAACTTATTTCCATTTTACTCCTGGGCATTAGTAATTAGTTGACTGGTTCTAAAAGTCTATGTTTTGGGTCACAGCTCTAAAAGACAGGATAAAAAATAATTTGATCCTTTAACTTGATTCATTAAATCACTAACTTGCAACAGTAAAATCATCTGTAGGATTTTTTTTTCCCAGCTATAATCTAAAAAAATAAAAAACCACTGTCGCTGCCTTTTGAAATCCTTTTTAGGCATTCCATTTTCTTCCTTAAAAGATGGTGCTAGATTTGCTGACTCATACCCCGGTCCGTGGCATTTTATTGATGTCTTTTCACCCCCGTGTGAGGCTTCCTTCATATCTAACCACATTTCTTTTCATTTTATTATGATCTTTTTCTCTGCAATGCAGTGCTTACCCCACATATTTTACCTTTTATTTTCATCGAGGGGGACACTGCGCCATAGGGCAGTCAGAATCACCTTGCTACTTGCACAGCACCCAGGAGTAAACCTTACTCTCTCTCCCTAGGTATTACTAATCCAGCTTAGTAGCACCCAGGAGTAAGTATAGACCCTTAATCTCTCCCTAGACTCACTGAGCCAGCTTCAGGCCCTTCTCCCAAGGGCAACCTAACAGCAGAACTTGTGGGGATTGACCTAGTGCCTGTGAGATGCACCAGGGTTTGAACTCTTGGCCTTGTGGCTGCTGGCAGCTGTTACGCCATCATCCATGCTCCCTTTCACTGCTCTTTAATAAATTTATGTCCCTGGCCTAGATCAGGGATTAACATATTAACCTCAGAAATAACTGATCAGTCTGCCAGCTGTTGCTGAATAAACAACACTTAGTCCTTTGTTTTAACGAACATTAATTACCATCCCACCATCCAGAGTTAAATAACCCATCCACTTACATGACCCATGTGACGGTTCCCAATACATTAATGATTCTGTGTCCATGTAAAGTCTAAATTTAAAGTCTGAAATATGAAACGGTGCTAATAAAAGGAGATTGCTTTTATTAGTTTTTGATCTCTTGGATCTATTAACTCATGAAAGTAGTCCACTGGGTCAGTTTGACTGGGCTTATACTGCAAGTCTTTATATTGCTTATTCTGTGGGTAACTGCAAGTGGATTTTGTGAAGGTCCTTTTTTTCCCCCTATTCTGTTCTTACGTATAGAGATGAATTTTCAGAGTTTTAATTTGTATCCCTTTTCTTTCTTTTTTAAAACATGACACCCAGCTGGCCCTTTTGAAATCTCAACATTTTCATGTCTCAGGGAGAGGTGGTGATTTCAGTCAATTCACTTAGTATCATTTTTGCCAGTCTATTTATTATTCTTGGAAATGAAAGTCTTTAGGGCAAGTTTATGTGAATGCTTTTATGTCAGTCATTTCATGGGAATTCTTCTATCCTTCTTAGTTCCCAGCCTTTCAGGCTTTTGTTGAGCTTTGCCTTTACTTAGTTTACTTTCTTAAGTTGTTGGAGGTAAAATTAATAGAAGCCTTTTTCCTATCCTATGTCTGTCAGCTATTATCTCCTTTTTTTTTTCTAATAAAGGGACATTTCTTCAGTACCCCTTTTTTTTCCTAGTCATTTCCCCCCTTTTAGATTTTTTAGATTGTATCTTCACAATGTCAGGATATTAGAAAGTATGCCAGTTTAAGAATTAAGGATCTGGGTTTCAACTTCACTAATTACATAACCCTGGCAAGTCATGGGATTTCTTTGCACTTCCATTTCCTCTTTAAAATGAAGACATTTTAAAGTTTCATCCTAACCCGTACTTCTCATTTCTCTTTTTGGCATCTGTTTCTGAGTGTATGTCCCTCTTCCTAGTGCTTCTCAGTTTCCATCTCTCCTATTGCAGTCTTACATGATTTTTCTGTGTGACTTAACACCAGAATGACCTGTTATATTTAAGGTAAAAGGTAAAGGTAAAGGCCCTCCCGTTGTTCATCGATTTGCTCGAGCGGGCCCAGTAACTTCTCCATTGGAGACTTTGTTGTTACTGTGTCTGGCATATCGGATACGTCACGGGGAGCTTGCCAGGCTCTGCCGTGCGGGCGAGATACTCTCGGTAGCTTGCTGGGCTCCCCGAGAGGGGCGAAGGAATCGAACTCAGGTCGGCCATGTTGGCTGCGTGCAAGGCAAACGCCCTACCGCTGTGCTATTGCTCCACATTTAATAATGGACACTTATAACCTTTCTCTAGAAAATGTTGGGGCCATAAATGTTTCCAGATTTTTAGTTTTTCCAATTTGGGGAGGTGCGGGGGGTGTTTATTTGGGCCACACCCACCAGTGTGGGTGGGTAAGCCCACTCAGAGCTTACTCCTGCCTCTGCACTCACCCTGAAATATGAAACGGTGCTAATAAAAGGAGATTGCTTTTATAGGAGATAATGCCTATATAGGGAACTATATAGGAGTGCCAGGGATTGAGCCTGGTCAGCTGTGTGCAAAGCAAGTTCCCTACCTGCTGTACTATCACTCTGGTTTTATCCACTGTTTTTTCCAGCTTTCGAGAGGTAATACGGTTGTCACATGACCCAATGCCAGAAGCACACACCGAAAGAGTATTTCTGCAGCAGAATGTTTCACACTCAGTGGGCATCTACATAGGCCAGACAGCCTTGTGTCCACTGAGGTTAGGTTTTGGACACTGTATTGGGTTAAAAAGCAAAGCTTCGTTTTCAGACATGCTTCATTATATGGGCCGCTGCTCCTGGAGAACTTCTGTGTTAGTTGGGAGGGAGGGTGACAGCCACCTCCTGTGCTGTGCTCAGGAAACTCTTGGCCAGTTGGACCCGTAGTTTCATACAAGGGCCCAACATGCAGTGCAGTATGGGCCCTGCAGTGCCAGGGGTTATTCAGACCACCTGGCCAGTGCCATGGGGTCTTCAGGACTGCACCCAGTGATGCTCGGGGAGACCATGTGATGCCAGGGATTGAACAAGGGTTGGCTGCATGCAAGGCCTGTGCCTTCCCCCTCATGCTCTCTTTCTGACCCCCATACTTGACGTTTTAAAATTTACTGAAAGTTCTGTGTTCTAATACATTTATTTTTTTGGTTTCTTCATGTGTGTTCTTGGAATCCAACTGTTCGTCGCTCTCATCCAAGGTTGCCTTTGCCTTTGCTTTCTAATTTTTCCCTGTTCCTTAGAGGGAATACCACAGTGCCGTGCTTAGAAATGCTGAAATCCTTTCGGCAAGCCAAAGTCACTCTTGGCACATCTCCCTGAGTGCCCCGTCTCGATCCAAGCCTGTCTTGAAGCTGAGCCATAGGGCACCGAGTTAATTCAGCCCTCCATTTGCAGTTTGCTGACCCGCCTTTTGCCTCCGACAACTTTGCTGCTATATTCAGATAATGCCACAAGATGGTGCCCGAATAGCAGCAGATTTCTCCTCCTCACGTTTCCAAGTGCCAGTCAGCGTCCTAAGTTTTTCCCCCCTTGAAGTACTAACATAGTCTAGAGATTTTGTAAGGAATTCAACCGAGTTAGAAAAGTACAGCAATGTAGAAAATGTTGTCTAAACCCACCTTGACTTCTGTACTCCTTGGCTCATGACTTGCAAAATCTTTTTTACAGACATTATCTGAAATAATAGCCCTTGGAAGGAAGCACTTAAGCTTATCATCTATATTTTATGGTTTCAAGATAAATGATTAGCCATGAATTAGAACTGGTATTGTGGTACCTAATGAAGTGCTTGGACTGTCAACATAGATGGTCTCTGTTTTCTCAAATCTTGGTGAAATGTTAAATGGAGAAGCAACCTTCTGTGTAAAAATTTGAATAGGGATCAGCCAGATTTGTACGTTTGTATTTTCTTTTCTTTTTTTTTGAAAAATAGCCCTTAGTGTCCTTCCATATATGTGGTCATTTTTCCACCCCGCCATCGTGTGTTCTGGAAGATTCTGGTTCCTGGAAGTGCTTGGAAAGTACTGAAATTTGATTGACTTCTGACATACTTTTCCCCATAAGGTTAAAGGAAGGAGATATAACTAAAGCTAGGGGCTATTATTTTTATTTGCACAGAAAGACAGAAGAAGAAGAAGAATAAAATATATTCCTAATCACTGTTGAAAATGTTTAAGTATCAGAAAAACCAGGAATAATGGACAGCTCTATTGAAACACTAATGCAGTTGAGAAATAAAACGCACTCACTGGATTATCAGACTAGAATCATAACTGCTCAGTCTTGACTAACCTCATCTAGTTCTCATTTCCGTTAGTCCTAGATCTTTCTCTGTATTATAATACTTTTTGTTTGTAGTATTTTATGTTTCTATTTACAAAGCATTTATAGAGTTAAAGATATTAACTCTTGAAATCAATTCTGAGAAAAAAACAGGAAGTCCCCCTGTCATGTGAATCAGTGAACCTTGTAATTTGTAATAAGGGAAAGACACTGGTTCCAAGATTACTAATTCTCCTTAATGCCGCCCTTATTCACAGAGAGAAAACGCCTAGAAGCCAAGCAACGGGAAGACATCTGGGAAGGCAGAGACCAGTCTGAAGCTTGAACATACACAGTGAAAGGGATCTAACTCCATGGATTCAGAAAGGATTTCCCTGGTCTTCAGAGATGAGGGGGATTTCAGACCTCTGTGCACATGCAGATGTGCACGTTAATAAGGAGCGAGAGAAAGTGACCAAGAACTGGCTAAGGATAGAAAAAGAGATTGACTCCTGTCAATCTCTACTCCTAAATGCAGTTCTTTGGAATCCCTTAACTGTGGGGCGTAGAAGGAAGAGCCAGTGGTAGGAAGGCACTCGGGAGATGTGAGGTCCAAGAGTTCTCTGGACGGGGCAAGTCCCGTAAGCATGGATCACACTCCTGAGATGTTTTAAGTAAATACAAAACAGAGGATTTGAATCTGCAATGATGAGAGATTAAGGGGCAGCCAAAACACGGTGTTCCTTCCTGAGGGCTTCCCCGAATCAGAACCGCAGCATTGAGGGGAAGGCGGGGGCAGGGGCAGGGCCAGGCAGTTCAGAGAGACGGAACCGTGTCTAGCGTACGTGGCATTCCCAGAATGGAGACTGCCACCTCCAGGACGCCAGCGTTGGTGAAGGGCAGCAGATGGGGGGGGGGGGGGGAGCGGAGGAGGTGGGGGTTGGGCTGCAGAGTGTGCCCTGAGCTGGCTGCCGGGGGGCTGCACTAGCTGCTCGGCCACTAGGGCCGTGCCAGCCTCGTGCCTGCTGGGAAGCCAATCTCAGGATGGCTCTCGGCGCCAGCATAAGCAGAGACACCCGTTGTAAGAAGACATTAAAGTCCATTTCGTGACAAAGACGTCTCCGGTGTTGGCTGATTTTGCGCTCCCACAAAGAAGCTAGAGCTCATGCTGCCTCTTCCGTTCTGTGGTGCAGTCCGCAAGGTCGGTGGTGGTGGTGGTGGTTTAGAGTGGATGCATGTGTGGGGAGAACTCGTCCCCCGTGTCCTCTCTCTCTGCCCATCATCTCTCTGCACCCAGAATAAAGCACATACGTGGCTTTTCTAGGGTTGGTGCGTGGTTGTCTCCTCTTACCCTCCTGCGTGTTCCCCCACTCTAGCCTCGAACCCTCTCCCCCTTCTTTCACCGCTCGCATGCTGCAGGGAGCATTTGGCACACAGCAAGTTCCTGGGATGGCCCTCTCGGCCTGGGACAGAGGCACCTGGCAAGGCAGCACCAGAGAGACCTCGGTCACAGTGAAGAGCAGCCAGAATCAGGCACCTCTGAGCCACGGGGGATTCATTCAGGGCACAGGCGCAGACAGGCCTATCCATCTCGTGTCGATCCCCGCAGGGTTTGGAAAAGTCATTCCGCACTGCCAGAACGGTTGAGAACCAGCCAGAGGCTCCCGGACTTACTGACCTACCACTCTGTTCCGGGTGAGAACTCAGCACTCCCCGAATGCCCCCTTTGTTAAGTGGACAGACAGAAAGCACCCCACTCCTGAATTTCACCTGAGGCCACTCCTGCCCCCCTGGATCATTCCAGCTGCACCCTTCCCCAAGGAGTGGTTTCACTCACTTTGGGGGAACACTCTCCTGGACTTTGAGATGCTGTGAGAGAAACAGTGTCTCATTGTGCTTTTAAATGAGGGCAAAGTCTTATTTTTGTATGATTCCGTGCCTGTGACAGTGATGGATGTTAGCATCGCCAAAAACATGGTAGCAGGCCTCTGCCCGGACATTTCTCAGATGACACCAGCCTCAGGTCTTAGTCCTGACCCACCTATCCTGGCTACTATTCCAGTCTCTCAGCTCTCTTGCAGCTCCTCAGCATGGTTTTCTCACGTCTCGATCAGAAGTATCCCTTGTTCACATGAGTGCCTCTGTTCCGAGTTTGGGAGATTACGAAAACCCTTCTCCTGGCAGGCTGGCATCCCTCTCCCTGACTTCCAGCTGCCCGATCTCTGTGTTCTCATCACTGACAGACTCTCCTCAGACAGGCAAGTCTGCCGGAACGATATGGCTGCATTTGAAAAGAAATGCAGGGAATTGGAGCCAGCCCTCCTACGGAATGTTCCATACCTCTCAAGTACACCCTGGCTCTCTCCTCATTTTCCAGGGTTGAGAGTGACTTTGGGCAATAAGAGGGTGGCACTTGCTTCTTCCTTCCCTTACTATGACAGTATTTTGGCTTTTAAGGGCATGATCAATGGTAGCATATGCATATGCCTTATGTTATTGCGACTGTTTTCTTGCCATCCTCATAATTTCTAGGTGTTCTGTCCTCATTCTAATGCTTATTCTCTCTCACTCGCTCTCGCTTGCTCTTGCCCTTGTTTTTGTTCTCTCCTCTCTGTGGCTTTCAGGTCTGATTTTTTTTCAGTAGTGGGATTGGCTGGGAGGCAAGATCGATTTCCGTGGCCCATTGTGATTACAGACAATCAGGCATGTCCAGATGGGACTCCAGAGCTTGGCCTTAGCAACTACCGTCTCAGACAGAGCTGAGGGTTCCCTGTAGCCGCCATGGCTTTCTTTATTAAGATACTTGGTAAGACAACTCCTGTGCTCTTGCTGTGCATAAGTGTTTCATTTATGGCAAACATCTGAATCCCTAGGTCCCTTTCAACTTTTCCATGGAAAGCTACATTTCCCCTCAAGTTCTACCGACTCCCCCTAGAGTGAAAGTCTTTGTGGGATGGAAATAAATGAGGCTTCTGATTCGTCAGCAGCTGCCTTGGCACTTGAGTTTCTCAGAGACGATGCCGAGGTGAAAATCTTCGGACATTTTTTGGTTCCGTCTGGAATTTGGTGGTTGGTATTCTGTGAACATTCCTCATCTAGTTACAAGTCATGCCAGCCCCCACGTCCTTCCCTTTCAACTCAGATGTGTAACAGCACCACCCTTGTATCGCTTTTTCCAAGAATTAGAACCAGCTACAACTCTCAGATGTGTGATGTGGGCAGCAAGACCAGAAGCAGTGCCGGTGGCTGGCTGCCTGGCCGGCTTTTTCTGGCCCTTTTGGAAACTAGATCCAGCAAGAGGCTGCGGGTAACCTCCCTACATGAATCTAGTCATCAGTCACCACACGCCACCCCCGCTCCATCCCCTACCCCCCCCCCCCCCCCCAAGCGCACATTCTTTCACAGACCATTAGCTGCATGTGTGAGTATAATGTTGTTACTGTTGGGGAGACGCTTGCTGGCTCCAACAGGAAATCAGTCCTTCCCTTGTTTAGCTAAACTGCCATGCCAAAATATAATGTGCCCTCTGCCTAATGAAGGCGCGGGGAAGAGAGAGGGAGAAGAGGAGGAGGAAGAAAGCCCTCCTTTGTGTTCCTGAGGGTTATACCTCGGAGCCTGTCCCTTCCTCCAGCCTGAGACTGAGGTGGGGAAGGGAGTGCCTTATAAATCCGTCCCATCTGCTGCCGTTCATTTCGGTTCTGCGGCAGCCTTGGTAGTAAAAGTTTACAACCCTTGGATTTTAGCTTCTTGCCTCTGAACTTGAATCCCTTTGCCTTTCCAACCCATGTTCTGTGTTTCGGCACTGAGCCTGGAAAGGGAGTTGGGAAGACAGTCACGGTTAATGAATGATGAGAGAAATAGAGGGGAGCGCTATGCACCCTGGCCCTCTGCGCTGGGCGTTTGAGGGGCGGAACTATACAGACTCAAGCTGTCCTGGTCCGGAGCTGTCCACCGTGAGGAATCTATTGGCATTTGGGTGTCAGACCTGGAATGATCTGTCTCTTTAAGTGTGTCTAAGTGGGGAGAAAACCATGCCCAAGAGACCTGGGGGATTTGTCTGCTACCTAAGCAAGAGCTTACCATTGCCACATCTCCGCTCTTGCTGGGTGTAGTCCTGGGCTAAATTTAAATTTCCCCTTGACTTTCCCAGTCTCCTGCCCCCCCACCCCATTTTCTGATTCTACAAGCATGACAGGCGTGTTGGACTGCACAAATTGATGTTCTTTCCACTGCACAAATTTATTCAGTGCCAAGTTCACTCCAGAAACTTGGTTGAGACCCAAAACCGAGGCCAGTCCTGAGATGCACGGGTGATCTGGAGGGAGGCTGTTGGATTGCCTGCCAGGTAGTTGGCATGCATTTTTCCCCCTTGGCACATGCCTTGGCAAGGACTAGGATCCGTATTCCCCCAGCAGTCTTTCTGCTTGACCGTCTCTTGCTTCTCTGCTGACCACTCCTGTGAACCCCTTGAGCACTCAGTGACGGGTGGTGGCTGATGGGGAGGTGCAGGACTGCCCGAGACCTAAGCTTCCAGAAACACCCCGTGTGCAGTGGGGTGAAAGGAAAAGGCGCTAACGAGTGGGCTCTGAAGCGTGTACGAGGGATGAGCTCTAAGGAAGAATAAAGTTCAGGGACTGAACTCACCGACTTCTCTGCCACTTGTGACTCTGGCACAAGCTGTATGTGGCTTTGGGCTTCTCTAGCAGAGGGCTAACCCCACCTCCTGTGCATTTTGGTCTTCTGTCTTCCACTCCGTGACACTCGCAAAGCACCATTTAGCAATGGGGGCACTGGACCATCATCCAGCCCTAAGGAACTGACTGCTCCTGAACTAGGAATGCTGGGACCAGATCCAGAGGGAAATCGATCTCCTTACGGAAGACAAGCTCAGTTGAGCGAAGCTTGGAGGCCGTCCTCAGAGCCCAGGCCTTTGGGGCTAGACCATGAACCCTCCTGGGGGAGCAGCGCCCTCTTGGCCTGGTGATCTCGCCATCCAAAGGCTTCCTGAGCAGCTGCTCGGTGCTCCTTGGGTCAGCCTTTTCCCCGCTGAAAGAGGGCATGGCTCCAGTAAGCTGAGGTATCTGGTGTGTGGGCCGCCACCGGGCGCGTGCCATGCTGGCTTCAGATGAGGTTGTTCCGGAGCCGCTGCTCTTGCTCCAGAACCAGCTCAGTGTTGACCCGTAAGGCATCCCCTGAGGGTCAGACAGAAACAGGTCAGTAGGCAGCCCACCACCATCTTTCCCGCCTCTTTCGGAACTCCACAGACCACTGACATACCCGTTCCCACTCAAGCTATTCATCCTGGCAGTGGACCCAACCCATTCTGAAGAAGCAGCTCCTGATGGGTGTGGGCAGAGGCACGGGGCTGCTGAGGGGAAGGGTCGTGTTGATGACCGACCGTGGTCCCTTCCCAAGATTCATTGTCCTTTTCCCAATGACCCTGGGCAACAGATCCCTAGTGGTCGGCCACCTCAGCCCCCTCAGCCTCTAGTTTCTCACTGTGGTAGCTCAGTGGAGAATAGCGGCAGGAGAGAGGATGATGGAGGGTGGAAGGAGAGAAGCTGGCGCCCTCCTTGCCCTGTTGGCAGTGCAGACCTCCAGCTCTGCATTTCCTCCACAGCCCAAGCTCCCAGAGGCCCTAGCCACCCTTGGTCTCTTCAGACCTAAAGGCAAGAATAATTTTCCTCCCTATTCTTTTTTTTTTCTTTTTGGGTCACACCCAGCAATGCACCAGGATTACTGCTAGGTCATGCACTCAGGAATTACTCCTGGCGGTGCTCAGGGAACCATATGGGATGCTGGGAATCAAACCCAGGTCGGCCGTGTGCAAAGCAAACACCCTACCCACTGTGCTATCACTCCAGCTTCTCCTCACCATTCTTGCTTACCCTTT